GAGGTCCTTAGCCTTGGACGTACTGCTACAGTTCTTTAATAACCGAAATGAAGTTAAATCCAGCACTTCTCGGTTAAACGGCTGCATAATAAATACAGTGAACATGCTGAAATTATTACACATAATTTCAGTCCCGAAATTATCACTTGAAGGGACACATCACACTTCGATTATCTTGTTAAGTAAGTCACGTGGACACCTCACTAAGGCCTATAAATACCCCTCAAGGGTCACCTCAAAAAGGTAATTGAAACTGACCTAAAGCTCTTTTTTTTTTTTTAAAGTTAGATCCAATTATTGCTGACTTAAGTATCGGAGTGTCTACCCCGAGGACCCACCTTGAGGCTTTGCAAGTTCATCTGGAGTGAAGACAAAGACTGAAAAAGCACTTTTGGTTAGGTGCAATTACATTGGCGTCGTCTGTGGGAATCTGAATTAAAAGCTCTTTTGTTGCTTTCTCATCATGGTCAACACTCGATTTGTCCGAGCTGGAAGTCAGGCTCAACCTTTTGGGCAAGGTCAAGTTCAGTACCCCAACAACCTCCCACCTTAGATCCCAAATCCACTCCCTCCTGTTGAACATGCAGAAGAAAGAGATGAAAATCAACCTCACGACTCAGCTCACAATTCAGCCCCCACCCTTAACCAAGGAGATGTAGTCGCAGCTCAGCTTATTGCCATACAACAGCAGTTTAGTGTCTTTAAGTTGGTTTTGGCTTAACTCTTAGCTCAAAATAATCTTGGTGATCCCTACATTAATTTACTTAATCTTACTCAACAACCCTCTATTCAACAGTAAGACCCTTAACCAGTTCAACATGCTCTTGCTCTAAGTGAGTCTCATGGTCAGTCTCACATAGCCCCAGCTAAGCAACATCTACCTGATGATGTCACACGATGTCTGGACAATTTAGAAAAAATGGTAACCGAGCAGCGAGGTGCCCCACCTCCCCACCATAACATTGATTCCATACCTCATCCTCTAAACACTAATATTACATTGGAACCTTATCCTACTGGTTTCAAAATACCCCAACTCAAGACATATGACGGAATGAAGGATCTGGATGATCACCTCCATGCCTTTTATTCTTGTATACAAGCTCAGAACGCCTTTGATGCGTTGATGTGCAAGATCTTTCCTTCCACTCTTCGTGGTAATGCTCGAACCTGGTACTATAGTTTGCCTCTGAAATCTCTCAACTCTTATACATAAATGGCATATATTTTTGCTATAAAGTTTTCCAGTAGAAGGTTGATTAGGAAAACCACTTCTGAACTGATGCGAGTCAAACAGGGGGAAAGGGAATCTTTGAAGAATTACATGAGCAAGTTCAATGATGTAGTCCTCGAAGTCAGCTCATTCAACCAAGCCATGGGAATTGTGGCTGTAATTCAAGGTCTCCAACATGAGAGGTTCAGAGATAGCTTAATTAAGCATCCTATTGCCACTTTTAATAAGGTTAATGACAGATCCTTGAAATTCATAATTGTTGAGGAATATGCTTTGTCACAGAAGCCAATTCTCCCTAAAAACCAAAACACAGATTGGAGAGATGAGAGTTAGAGTAGAAAATGGATGAAGACAGTACATAATCGAGGTCCAATGTCGACCTCCACACTGAGATTCGAAAAATCGAACTCAGTACCTCCCCAACAAATTACCAATAAAGCACCCGTTACATGGACTCCCTTCAATCGACCGAGGTCGCAGATATTCATGCAGATTAAGAACAAGATGAATTTGAGGCGACCAGGGCCAATGAGAAGTTTTGCTGCTACACGTGATCATACTAGATACTGTGATTTTCATCTAGATCATGGTTATACAACAGAGGAGTGTAATAGTTTGAGGTCCGAATTGAAAAGTCTAGCTTAGAAGAGAATGTTAAATGAATATATCCAGAGAATAGAGCAGCCCAAGTTTGTCAGAGAGCAAGGGCCATAGCCATAGGGATCTCGTAATGCAGGAAACAAGCAAGGTGTAGGATATCAACAGGCCCCACCTCCACTCCCACCACCAGCCAGAATTATACACATGATTACGGGAGGATTGGAAGTAGGGGGTTTGAGCTCCAAACAACGAAAATTGTATGTTAGAAAGGTGAAGCATCAAAACCAAGCTCAGAAACGAAAGTTTGATGATGTTGATTAGAAGAATCAACCCATCACTTTCACACCTGTTGACTTCAATAGAGTTGTCACCCCATAATGACTCTTTGGTCACTTCCGTTATGATTAACAATTGTGAGGTACAACGTGTCCTTATTGACACAAGGAGTGCACTAGACATTATGTATTTTCACTGTTTTGAGAGTCTCAGACTAGATCAAGCTCTATTGAAGAGGTACGATGGTCCCATATATGGATTCAATAACCAACCTGTTAAGGTAGAAAGAGTCTTTACCCTTGATGTTGCTTTTGGGAGTGGCCGAACTTATGTTACGCCCTCAGTTCGGTTTCTAGTTGTCGAAATGGCTTCCTCTTTCAACACTGTTATTGGACGACCTATGTTAACCAAGATTCGCGCTGTGGTCTCTCAATCTCACCTCTATATGAAGTTGCCAACCCCTATGGGGATAACAACACTACGAGGTAACCAGGCGGTGGTTAAACATTGTTATATTACCTTGGTTACAAGGCCTCAGAAAGGCAAAAATCAAACATCAAAAATCATTCCCCAACAAGTTCATGATAATCAACAGGTGATGGGGGTAGAGATAGTAGACAACCGACCTGAAGATGAAACTAGAGCTACCCCAGTTGAAGATGTAAAGGAAGTGCAACTTGGTGATAGAGATCAAAACAGGAAGACACAAATCGGCACTCGGTTGAACCCAAAAGAAAGAGCAGAGCTAATAGCTTTCCTCTGAGTTAACAAAGATGTGTTCGCTTGGACCTCAGCAGACATGCCAGGGATTCCAACCTCGGTATCTCAGCATAAGCTTAGCACCAATCCATTGAAGAAATCAGTAGCTTAGAAGCGACGCCTCTTTGGGGGGGAGAGACTTCAGGTTATAAAGGAAGAAGTAGAGAAACTCCTGCAAGCTAGTTTCATCAGGAGAGTTGATTACTATGAATGGGTGGCTAACCTGGTGTTGGTCAAGAAGGCAAATGGTAAATGGTGAATGTGCATCGATTATACGAACCTCAACCAAGCTTGTCCCAAAGATCGTTACTCGATGCTAAGCATTGACAAACTGATTGAAGCGGCTTCTGGAAATAAGAGATTAAGTCTCTTAGATGCATATTCTAGTTATCACCAAGTGTTGATAACTCCAGAGGATGAAGAGAAAACATCGTTCTATGCAAATGATGAAATTTATTACTATGTCATGATACCCTTTGGCTTAAAGAACACATGTGCCACTTATTAGAAGATGGTAACCATCGTGTTTCGAGCTCAGATCAGCAAGAATCTAAAAGTTTATGTTGATGACATTATGGTGAAGAGCCTGAAAGTAGAAGATCATCTAGTTGACCTCGATGAAACATTCAACAACCTTAAAAAAAATAAAATGCGGTTAAACCCAGCAAAGTGCATCTTCGGTGTGGAGTCTGGGAAATTTCTGGGCTTCATGGTTTCTCGAAGGGGGATTGAGGTTAACCCAAAAAAGATCAAAGCAATAGCTGAGATGGAATGATCGAAGTCGGTGAAAGATATACAGAGATTAATTGGAAGGGTGGCAGCTCTTTATAGATTCATATCAAAGTCAACAGATAAGTGCCTGCCATTCTTCAAGATCATGAAGTCAGCAGCACTGAAGGATGAATCTGGCAAATAGAAGAAGTTTGAATGGAACTCAGAATGCCAAACTGCATTTGATGAGCTGAAGTCTTATCTTAGCTCACCTCCTTTGTTGACAAAAGCTATAGATGGAGAAATCCTTTATTTGTACCT